CCAACAACTATTTAGGAAACATGAACAAGTCGAGATAATTGGTTTGATCAGATTCATGTCTACAGCCCACATTCACACCAAATTCACCCATCTTGTGATTTTATTTGCCTTCAGGCAGTTTGTCTTCTCTTCTGCGCTCCAAATGGGGTCCTCTGAAGGATAACGAGCCCACCATCATCTTCTACACCAAACAGATCCTCGAGGGACTGAGATACCTTCACGATAATCAGATCGTCCACAGAGACATAAAGGTAGGTCAGCCTCATGCTTGTTACACTTAGGAGGAATTTCACCTTCAGCACAGTCTGTTAGTGGTTATTTTATCTGTACTTCAGGGAGACAATGTTCTGATCAACACCTACAGTGGAGTGTTGAAGATCTCTGACTTCGGAACCTCAAAGCGTTTAGCAGGAATTAACCCCTGCACTGAGACGTTTACTGGTAAGCAGCAGATTGCTATGACTCTGATTCTGAAGTTTTACTTTTGCTATGGGAACCAGTTTGATGACTTTTTCTGAAAAAGGAACTCTTCAGTACATGGCTCCAGAGATCATAGACAAAGGACCTCGAGGTTATGGGAAGCCTGCAGACATATGGTCTCTGGGGTGCACTATTATTGAAATGGCAACAGGCAAAACACCCTTTCATGAGCTGGGAAGTCCTCAGGCTGCCATGTTTAAGGTAAACAAGGAAAAATCTGTTTTCATGTTAACGTTACTGTGCCATAATAGAAAGCAGAACATGTAAAAGCTGCATTCAGACTAAGTCAACTTTACTGATTCAACATTGGGTAATGCTGGGGTTTTTATTTTTCCACTACTTGTATGTTTACAATATACACTTCCTGCAACAACTCACCTTTCACATGATGTAAGAGGATGACTCACTGGCGTCTCGTTTATGAAGGAAATGGTGCTAAATGTATTCTGGCACACACACACACACACACACACACACACACACACACACACGCACGCACGCACGCACGCACGCACGCACGCACGCACGCACGCACGCACGCACGCACACACACACACACACACACACACACACACACACACACACACACACACACACACACACACACACACACACACACACACAGAGATCAGCAGGTTTCAGTTATTGGCCTCATTTAAATGTGGAAACGTTGCTCCAGTGCAGAGATGCACTGTTTAGTCAGCAGCTCTGATTGCACTGCCTAACCCCTAACTAATGAGAAAATATGATCAAATCCCAGTTTGACTTTACGTTTAGATGCAAGGTTATCTCACAATCACCACCAGAGATGGGCAATTAGACTTTTCCTGACACACCTGCCCTATTTTTAATGCAATGGTCCAACATGTGCTTCTTTTCCTAAAATGTATTTATTTATTTAATATTTTAATCAATGTTTATTTTTAATTACATTAACTATTCTAATTTAAATATTTTAATTTCATTTTTATTTCCTTTTCTGATTACTTTTCCTATATTTATTCATATATTTACTTATTTGTTCATTAAATTAAAAAATATTACATTATTCTATATTTTTGTTTTCTTTATTTTCTAATTCCGTTCTATTTCTTTATTAAATTGAATAAATTAATGACACAATTTTTTATTTTGCCTTCATTTTATTATTTATTTTCCTCTTATTTATTTATCTATTAAAATACATTTGAAAAAATGTATACTTTTATTTTTTTTGCCTTCATTTTATTATTTCTTTTCCCCTTATTATTTGTTTATTTATTAAAATACATTTTTAAAAATGTATACTTTTTATTTCATTTTTCATTTTGCCTTCATTTTATTATTTCTTTTCTCCTTATAATTTATTTATTTATTTATTTAAATAAATAAATAAATAAATTTTTAAATGTATACTTTTTATTTAATTTTTTTTATTTTGCATTCATTTTCTTATCTGTTTTCCCTTCATTTGTTTATTTCCCTGCAAATACAACAAGATCTCAGGAGTAAAAAGGAAATGATAATGTTTGTGTGAGAAATGGATAAAGATGCAAATAAATAAGTAAATAAAGATAATATTGATTTGCATCCCCAAAGGGGCACATTTGTTTTTGGGCTTTAGAGTAACTCTGAATTCATCAGTTGAAAATACAAGCACTTTTATCTTTCTGCACAATTGCTTTATTTTGTTACAGGGCTATTTAATGGTTGCCAAAACATTTTCTCTCTATACAAAAGTGCCACATAAATTACTTTTAAATTAGTTAAAAAGTGCCCCCAGATGAACAATTTGGCTGATTAAATTTTTTTTAAAGAAATGTTTAAAATCTCTTTTGGGATTATTCCAGGTGGGCATGTTTAAGATCCACCCAAATGTTCCAGAGTGCATGTCCAACCAGGCCAAGGACTTCATCATGCAGTGTTTTGAGCCAAATCCAGACGACAGAGCTATTGCTGCAAAGCTGCTGATGGACAATTTTCTCAGGTCTTCTCCCAAGAAGAAGACTAATATCCCCAAAAAATCCGAACAAAAAGACTTTGACCATCCCGGTGAGGATTCTGTGTTCTTCACACTTGAACCTTTTTGGCATAAGTGAACATTTTCTATGTGGTTGCAGAACAATTTATTTCTTCTCCTCTCTTGGACATCATACATGTTAGCTTGCCTACATTTTCTCTCCTGTTTCAGTACATTTGTCCTTGTTAGGACATTTGAATGACAAAAGCACATATCTTTAAAACTACTGAATGTCTTCAAATGTGGGTTCTGCAGCCGATTATCTGCGCAGCATGTCTGTGCCCATCTCCATCTTTGTGGAGGACACAGATTCAGACTCGGGTTCCGTAGATCTGACTGCTTCTCTGGACCTCAGGCGGCGCCAGCACGCCAAAAGAGCCAACGAAATCTCAGGAAGCCCACCTTGCACCAACAGCTTCCTGCAGTAAGTGAGAATATCACTCCAATTTCACATTTCGCTATTTCACATTTCACTATTTCACAACTGTTTGGGTTTCAATCCAGACTAAACTGCATCCTTTTAAGTAAAAAAAAAAAAAAGCCTCATGCTAACTTGGTTGACTCATAACTGAAATTTTTAGGACTATCTCTGAAAAGCAAATGTTCTTTATAGTGTCTCACTCAAATCTCTCATCCTGTAAGTTGCATTTTATTAGATCTACAGCTTTTTTTTATTCAGGCATTTCAGTTTGATTTGTCATTTTATTGCCTTTTTCTTTGCAGAACAGCCGACGATTCTGCTTCAGGCATGTGCAGTCCCGCCACATCAGAGGAAAACATCGGGCTTTTCATGTTGCGAAAGGACAGCGAGCGGAGAGCGACACTCTATAAAGTCCTCACCGAGTACATCAGTCATGTTGTCTGTAACATTCAGGAGTCTTTGTCTCAGGTGGGTGGGAATGTGAGGGGGATCAATAAGCAAGTCCAAACATGACCTAAACTGCTCTGTGCTTGAAACATTCAATAAACATCAATTTTAAAGAGATAAATTCACTGATGATGGAAATTATAATCCAATATACTTGAATCACATCCAAAATATGAATGCTTAGAATAAATTGAGGTTTTATTGCAAAAAATTTACTTTTAAGGATAAGGATACTTTTTTTTTTTTTTTGCAAATGCTGTTTGAATGCTGACCGCTGAAAATTGCTGCTAAATAACTGAACTGAAGTTTAAAATGAGCTTAAATGTCAAAATTATTAGAATGTATTTTAAAATTTGAAGCTCTAGTAAAACAACTAATACATAGTGTCAGAGCTTAAAAGTAGATGAAAATTTGAAAAAATATCTTGAACAGCTGAAAACAAACCGTTTGTTTCACCATTACCTGAATTGTGAAAACGAACAGATTTTGTTCAAGGCTAAAAAATGTTTTACTTTGAAAAAACGTTAAAACGTTACAAGTGCTTTAAATATGACCAAAGACAGGTAGCCGAGCAATGTAAAAGCCAAGTTAAAATCCAAAACATGTATAAAAGGTTCACTTTGGCTTGTTAAAGCTTGCTGGAAAAGTTGAAACTGAGGTGAAGTGTTTGAAATTGTTAAACTATATAAAATATATTAAATATAATATTAAAATGTTGTAAACAGCATTCAAACAACAACACCAAATGCTTACTTCCTCAGCTTTACATCTGAATAAATGAACAAATATGATCAAAATATCCTAAATACTAAATGAAATAATTTAACAACAGAGCATAAATTTGTAAATAAATCAGCACTTCAAACCTACTATACTTAGATCTCTCACTAGAGGGCAGAATGCATGTATTATACTTCTATGAAGCAGTTTTTTTATTTTTATTTTTTTAGGAAAGCACTAACCCTGTTAAAGAGGTAAAGGAAATAAAACATTTCTCTGCACTTTTATCAAGTATTTTCCATTGTTTCCTTTATTTAAACAAAAATTCAGTTACAAAAATCTAAAACATAATAAAGATCAAAATCAGTTTTAAGCTCTGGTAGATCACAATCCCATTACTGGACTGTCATACTGTCGACATCTCACTACGAGGTTTGCTGAAGGACGTTTAAAATGTTCAGATTATCCTAGAGAAGTAGGAGGTCGAGGAATCTGTAAGTCGTTTTGGTTATTCCATTTTAAACTCCTTTAGGCATTTTTTTAAGATACTCAAAAACAATTAAACAATATACCACAGCTTTAAAGAAAATGATATTCCCATCAGAATTTTAAATTTAAGTTTTCATCCTTTAATAGCCCTTTGCAATTCCACGCTTACGTTTTCCATCAGATCCTCTGGGAGAAAACATCTAAATACAAGTGAAATCACGGAGTAACATCTTTTTCTTTCCATCTTGAAACAAAATAACACACCAGTGTTCCCAGTTGGACCACCCAAATACAGAATCCAACTTTTTATTTTTTTTCCAGAAAGGTGAGGCATCGCCGCTCACCTCGGAGCACATCAGCTCACTTATTACTTGCCTGCGAGACAACATCCACTCTCCAGACAAAAAGCAGCTGACTCGTGGCCTGCAGGCACTTCGCTCCACTCTGTTGGCTGCAGCAGTACCTCTGAACAGCCTGCAGGCGGTGCTCTTTAACTTCCAGGATGCAGTAAGTCACTTACAGGCCGCTTGTGTTTCTGCAGTTAAAAGCTGGAGCATCAACACTCACCCATTTGCTCTACATGTAGGTGAAGAAGGTGTTGAAGCAGCAGCATGTGAAACCTCACTGGATGTTTGCGCTGGACAACCTGCTGACACAGGCGGTACAGGATGCCATAACGATCTTACTACCAGGTAGAGCTCCTATATGCACACCTGCTCTAATGTTCTTTATGTACATGGATCTGTTTATTTAAGTTCATGTAGGCACACACGTAGTCAAACAAGTCTTAAGATGAAATTAGGGTTTGAGTTGGGTTAGGATTTTCAGAAATGTTTTTTTCATAATCATCTGGTTTCACTTGTAAATATTAGTAAGAAGTGAGCTTTCTGGGAAAAAAAATATTGTTTAAAGCAACACTAAACAAGTTACTCCGGGTGTTTCTGAATGTCAAGGCACCTGGTCTCGCAAGGCGATGTCTTGCATCACGTAACGTTGCGTGACATGGGAGAAAACGTTATATTTTAGATGTATAAGTTTCAATATAAATACTTAACAAGCTTTTTACTTTTAAAATTGTGTATATATTTGTTAAATTAAATATGTAAGCGAGTTACTACCTGCTAGCCACCAACTGGCATAAACAACCCTGCCGTAGCTAGCGCTAACAACAAGCTAATGCTAACATGAACCAACTGATGCTAAATAAGTGACAAAGTAAAATGATCTTTACTGTTACTGATCTTTACTGTTGGACAAAAAAAATATTATTACTTATAAGTCCAGTAGCAACAAAGCCAGGTCACCATCAGTTTGTGATTTTGTAGCCTCCTTCAGCTCCCTCAAGCTAGTGTAGGCTCTTTGCTTTGCCTCCAAAGAGGCTTTTACTGTTGCTTGTACTTCCAGGCTTTGCCATGATGCCCACAAAAAAAGCAAAATTCTTCTTCTTTTGCTTTTTTATTGATGGTTGACAAAGTCTCTCGTCTCGTCTCGTCTTCCTCCGCTTATCCGGGTCCGGGTCGCGGGGGCAGCATCCCAACTAGGGAGCTCCAGGCCGTCCTCTCCCCGGCCTTGTCCACCAGCTCCTCCGGCAGGACCCCAAGGCGTTCCCGGACCAGATTGGAGATGTAACCTCTCCAACGTGTCCTGGGTCGACCCGGGGGCCTTCTGCCGGCAGGACATGCCCGAAACACCTCCCCGGGGAGGCGTCCAGGAGGCATCCTGACCAGATGCCCAAACCACCTCAACTGGCTCCTTTCGATCCGGAGGAGCAGCGGTTCTACTCCGAGTCCCTCCCGAATGTCCGAGCTCCTCACCCTGTCTCTAAGGCTGAGCCCGGCCACCCTACGGAGGAAACTCATTTCAGCCGCTTGTATCCGCGATCTCGTTCTTTCGGTCATTACCCAAAGCTCATGACCATAGGTGAGGATTGGGACGTAGATCGACCGGTAAATCGAGAGCCTGGCTTTCTGGCTCAGCTCCCTCTTCCCCACGACAGATCGGCTCAGCGTCCGCATCACTGCAGACGCCGAACCAATCCGCCTGTCGATCTCCCGATCCCTCCTACCCTCACTCGTGAACAAGACCCCGAGATACTTAAACTCCTCCACTTGAGGTAGGACCTCTCCCCCGACCCGGAGGTGGCAAGCCACCCTTTTCCGGTCGAGAACCATGATCTCAGATTTGGAGGTGCTGATCCTCATCCCAGCCGCTTCACATTCGGCCGCGAACCTACCCAGCAAGAGCTGAAGGTCAGAGCTGGATGAAGCTAGGAGGACCACATCATCCGCAAAAAGCAGAGACGAGATTCTCCTGCCACCAAACTCGACACACTCCACACCACGGCTGCGTCTAGAAATTCTGTCCATAAAAGTGATGAACAGAACCGGTGACAAAGGGCAGCCCTGGCGGAGTCCAACCCTCACTGGGAACAGGTCCGACTTACTACCGGCTATGCGGACCAAACTCACGCTCCTCTGGTAAAGGGACTGAATGGCCCTTAACAGAAAGCCACCCACCCCATACTCCTGGAGCGTCCCCCACAGGGTGCCCCTGGGGACACGGTCATAAGCCTTCTCCAAATCCACAAAGCACATGTGGATTGGTTGGGCAAACTCCCATGCCCCCTCCATCACCCTTGCAAGGGTATAGAGCTGGTCCACAGTTCCACGGCCAGGACGAAAACCACATTGCTCCTCCTCTATCTGAGATTCAACTATCGATCGGACCCTCCTCTCCAGTACCTTGGAGTAGACCTTTCCAGGGAGGCTGAGGAGTGTGATCCCCCTATAGTTGGAACACACCCTCAGGTCACCCTTCTTAAAGATGGGGACCACCACCCCGGTCTGCCACTCCCTAGGAACTGCCCCCGATGACCACGCAATGTTGTAGAGACGTGTCAACCATGACAGCCCTACAACATCCATTGCCTTGAGATACCCAGGACGAACCTCATCCGCCCCCGGGGCTCCGCCGCTGTGTAGTTGTTTGACTACCTCAGCAACTTCTGCCCCCGAGATCGGACAGTCCATCCCCAGGCCTCCCAGCTCTGGTTCCTCCTCGGAATGCGCATTGGTGGGATTGAGGAGCTCCTCAAAGTATTCCTTCCACCGTCCGACTATAGCCTCAGTTGACGTCAGCAGCTCCCCATCCCCACTGTAAACAGTGTGAGCGAGTTGCTGCCTTCCTCTCCTGAGGCGCCGGACAGTTTGCCAGAACCTCTTTGGAGCCGATCGATAGTCTTTCTCCATGGCCTCACCAAACTCCTCCCACGCCCGAGATTTTGCCTCGGCAACTGCCACTGCTGCACCCCGCTTGGCTATCCGGTACCTGTCTGCTGCCTCCGGAGACCCACAGACCAGCCACGCCCTGTAGGCCTCCTTCTTCAGCCTGACGGCTCCCCGAACCTCTGGTGACCACCAGCGGGTACGGGGGTTGCCACCACGACTGGCACCGGCCACCTTACGACCACAGCTAGCAACAGCCGCCTCGACAATCGCAGAGTGGAACAAGGCCCACTCGGACTCAATGTCCCCCACTGCTCTCGGGACGTGGTCAAAGCTCTGCCGGAGGTGGGAGTTGAAGACCGTCTTGACAGGTTCTTCTGCCAGGCGTTCCCAGCAGACCCTCACTATGCGTTTGGGTCTGCCAGGTCTACGGGGCATGTTCCCTTGCCATCTGATCCAACTCACCACCAGGTGGTGATCAGTTGACAGCTCCGCCCCTCTCTTCACTCGGGTGTCCAAAACATACGGCCGCAGGTCAGATGATACGACTACAAAATCTATCATCGACCTGTGACCTAGGCTGCCCTGGTACCAAGTGTACCGGTGGGCATCCTTATGTTCGAACATGGTGTTCGTTATGGCCAAACTGCGGCTTGCACAGAAGTCCAATAACAAAACACCGCTCGAGTTCAGATTAGGTGGGCCGTTCCTCCCAATCACACCCCTCCAGGTCAAGCTGTCATTGCCCACGTGAGCATTGAAGTCCCCCAGCAGGACAATGGAGTTCCCTGATGGAGCACTATCTAGCACTCGTCCCAGGGACTCCAAAAAGGGTGGGTACTCTGAACTGATATTTGGCCCATAAGCACAAACAACAGTCAGGACCCGTTCCCCGACCCGAAGGTGCAAGGAAGCTACCCTCTTGTTCCCCGGGGTAAACCCCAACACACAGGCAGAGAGTCTCGGGGCTAACAAAAAGCCAACCCCAGCCCTCCGCCTCTCACCCGGAGCAACTCCAGCAAAGTAGAGTGTCCAACCCCTCTCCAGGTCTCGGGTTCCAGAGCCAATGCAATGTGTCGAGGTGAGTCCGACTATATCTAGCCGGTACCGCTCAACCTCTGCCACAAGCTCCGGCTCCTTCCCCGCCAGCGAGGTGACGTTCCATGTCCCAAAAACTAGTTTTCTTGTCCGGGGATTGGACCGCCAAGGCTCCCGCCTTGGTCTGCCACCCGATTCGCATTGCACCGGACCCTTCATGTTCCTCCTGCGGGTGGTGGGTCCACAGTTGGACGAGCCCATGTATCCGGTTCGGGCTGGGCCCGGCCGGGCCCCATGGGCGAAAGCCCGGCCACCAGGCGCTCGCTCACGGGCCCCAACCCCAGGCCTGGCTCCAGGGTGGGACCCCGGTAACCCTCCGGGCCGGGTACTCCGACTCTTCGTTTTAACCGCCATGAAAGATCCTTCGAACCGTTCTTTGTCTCACCCTTCACCTAAGACCAATTTGTCATGGGAGACCCTACCAGGGGCACTAAGTGCCCCAGACAACATAGCTCCTAGGATCATTAGGGCACTCAAACTCCTCCACCACGATAAGGTGACGGTTCAAGGAGGAGTGGTTGACAAAGTTAAAAAGCTAACTACTAGCCTTTATATTAGCAACCAGTACAGCCAACAGCTATAGCTGTAAAGAAGGTAGAGACCTCCCAGCGTTCCTACCCGAACCACAAAAGTAAGAGCAGATTCTGGTCAGCAGAGGGCTGTCCAGTGTGAAATTGATCAGAATCACTGCAACCACTTTGAAAGCAAAACTCTTTAGTGTTGCTTTAAGGCAGAAATCAGAAATAAATGCCTAAATTAAGAGCTACTGGACAAAAAGTCTGAGGAGCTACTGCACCTACACATAATTCAGGGAGCCTTTCTGCCTGGAAAAACAGGAAACTAAAGCAAGTGTGGACTCATCCTGGTCATTTAAGGAAGCCGTCATTATGTCAGACTGGTTAATTGACAACAACTTCTTCACCCTCAGTGTCAACCCAAAGTTCTGCAGCAGATGCATGATCCCATCAGGTCATTTTGCAGTTAAAACTCCAAAAACTCTAAAATTAAATAATTAGAATGCACTTTCTCCAACACCTTTATCGTTTTAAGGCCTGAGAGTTTTGGGTGTACATTTTTTATTTCACATATGGGTGAAACTTGATTATTTAGAATCTGGTGCAAAAGTTAATTTATTTCAAAAATTCAACTTAAAAGTTGAAACTAATCAATGAGATAGGCTCATTCAATGCAAAGCCATATATTTCAGCCTTTTTTTTTTGTTATAAATGTGATGATTATGGTTTACAGCTTATGAAAACCCCACATTCAAAAATCTCAGACAATTAGATTATTGTGAAAGGTTCAATATTCTAGACTCAAAGTGTCAAATGCTAATCAGTTTATTGAACACCTGCAAAGAGTTTCTGAGCCTATAGATGGTCTCTCAGTCTAAGCTGAATTACTGAAATAAATGGCTTTTTCACCATATTCTAAATTTTCCTGTTTCATTTGTAGTTATTCTGACTTTGTAGGCCCTCAGAAACATGAAAACAATTACAGGGAGTGCAGAATTATTAGGCAAGTTGTATTGTTGAGGAATAATTTTATTATTGAACAACAACCATGTTCTCAATGAACCCAAAAACTCATTAATATCAAAGCTGAATGTTTTTGGAAGTAGTTTTTAGTTTTAGCTATTTTAGGGGGATATCTGTGTGTGCAGGTGACTATTACTGTGCATAATTATTAGGCAACTTAACAAAAAGCAAATATATACCCATTTCAATTATTCATTTTTACCAGGGAAACCAATATAACATCTCCACATTCCCAAATATACATTTCTGACATTCAAAAACAATACAAAAACAAATCAGCGACCAATATAGCCACCTTTCTTTGCAAGGACACTCAGAGGCCTGCCATCCATGGATTCTGTCAGTGTTTTGATCTGTTCACCATCAACATTGCGTGCAGCAGCAACCACAGCCTCCCAGACACTGTTCAGAGAGGTGTACTGTTTTCCCTCCTTGTAAATCTCACATTTGATGATGGACCACAGGTTCTCAATGGGGTTCAGATCAGGTGAACAAGGAGGCCATGTCATTAGTTTTTCTTCTTTTATACCCTTTCTTGCCAGCCACGCTGTGGAGTACTTGGACGCGTGTGATTGAGCATTGTCCTGCATGAACATCATGTTTTTCTTGAAGGATGCAGACTTTTTCCTGTACCACTGCTTGAAGAAGGTGTCTTCCAGAAACTGGCAGTAGGACTGGGAGTTGAGCTTGACTCCATCCTCAACCCGAAAAGGCCCCACAAGCTCATCTTTGATGATACCAGCCCAAACCAGTACTCCACCTCCACCTTGCTGGCGTCTGAGTTGGACTGGAGCTCTCTGCCCTTTACCAATCCAGCCACGGGCCCATCCATCTGGCCCATCAAGACTCACTCTCATTTCATCAGTCCATAAAACCTTAGAAAAATCAGCCTTGAGATATTTCTTGGCCCAGTCTTGACGTTTCAGCTCGTGTGTCTTGTTCAGTGGTGGTCGTCCTTCAGCCTTTCTTACCTTGGCCATGTCTCTGAGTATTGCACACCTTGTGCTTTTGGGCACCCCAGTGATGTTGCAGCTCTGAAATATGGCCAAACTGGTGGCAAGTGGCATCTTGGCAGCTGCACGCTTGACTTTTCTCAGTTCATGGGCAGTTATTTTGCACCTTGGTTTGTCCACACGCTTCTTGCGACCCTGTTGACTATTTTGAATGAAACGCTTGATTGTTCAATGATCACGCTTCAGAAGCTTTGCAATTTTAAGACTGCTGCATCCCTCTGCAAGATATCTCACTATTTTTGACTTTACTGAGCCTGTCAAGTCCTTCTTTTGACCCATTTTGCCAAAGGAAAGGAAGTTGCCTAATAATTATGCACACCTGATATAGGGTGTTGATGTCATTAGACCACACCCCTCCTCATTACAGAGATGCACATCACCTAATATGCTTAATTGGTAGTAGGCTTTCGAGCCTATACAGCTTGGAGTAAGACAACATGCATGAAGAGGATGATGTGGACAAAATACTCATTTGCCTAATAATTCTGCACTCCCTGTATTATTTTGAACATATAATAACTAATCAATAAAAACAAAGATAATTTTTAGTGGATTAAAAAGTTGTTTCCCTCAGCATTATTACCAAGAATGTGACAGTTCAAGAAGCCATAGTCTACATAAGTAAACACCATCTTAGGAAGTTAAGCTAAGATCATCTAATGTTGAAAACTATACAATCTGATACAAAAGTTTTTTTTGGCAAAGGCGAAGCTCTCGATTTACCGGTCGATCTACGTTCCTACCCTCACCTATGGTCATGAGCTTTGGGTAGTGACCGAAAGAACAAGATCGCGGATACAAGCGGCCGAAATGAGTTTTCTCCGAAGAGTGGCTGGGCTCTCCCTTAGAGATAGGGTGAGAAGCTCGGTCATTCGGGAGGGGCTCGGAGTAGGCCCGCTGCTCCTCCACATTGAGAGGAGCCAGTTGAGGTGGCTCGGGCATCTGGTCAGGATTTCTCCTGGACCCCTCCCTGGTGAGGTTTTCTGGGCACGTCCTACCAGGAGGAGACGTAAAGGTAGACCCAGGACACGGTGGAGGGACTATGTCTCTCACCTGGCCAGGGAACCCCTGGAGGAGCTGGCCCAAGTGGCTGGGGAGAGGGAAGTCTGGGCCTCTCGCCTTAGGCTACGGCCCCCGTGACCCGACTCCGGATAAGCGGATGGATGGATGGATGGAACGAACGAACGAACGAATGAACGAACGACTCGGCTACAACAGCTGTAGCCATTTTTGTTGTCATTTACTTATTTTTCCCAATTCCAACCCTTTGCTGCTCCTGACCTGTCAGCCCTGAAGCTCCGTCTGCAGTCCTCGTTTGAAGGAGACGACAGCGGTCCAGAGGAGCTGCAAGCTGATGAGGACACTCCTGTGTTTGCTTCTCCTAACCAGCTGAAGGCGCCGGCAGACGTGCAGCTGGCAGTGCCAGTAGAGGAAATCAGACCTAGAGCCAGTCCACACTCTCCTCCTGATGTCACCGTTAGCAGCAGCTGTTCGCTGAGCCAGAACCTCAGAGACATGAGAAAAGAGACCTGGAGGTATTGTTGAGCTGGCATTGTGAAACTTAAAAATTTGTTTTTTTTCATGTACATAGTATACGATACACAGTAAACCCCCCAAAATTGCATCTTTAATCTCTTTGAAGGCAGATTAATCAGGTTGTTGCTGTGCAGTGATGTGTTTGTGTTGCGTTTCAGACTGCTAAACCTGCTGAATGAGAAGGAGTGGGAGTACCAGGACCTGCTGAGGAACTCGGTCCAGAAGAAACAGGAACAGATTGATGCGATGAAGAAAGTAGCGGTTGTTGAAGGTAAAGTTCACCTTTCCACCAAGAAGGTCCTTTCATCCATCTGGAAGAACACAAATATTAAGTCAAATTCCTCTTACTGTGTCTTAATGTTACAATTTTTGTTACAAACTGAAAAAAATGAAGACAAAAGACTTTAAACAGAAATTCTGAAACTCATTCTACATTCTTTGGAATTGGAGAATATTTCAGTAAAACAAAATATATAAAATATGACTAATTTCAAAGCGAACGTATTATGACTTGTTTTAAAAAAGTTATAATAGTTTTATGGTCAATACAAAACATGTTTATGACGTAATCTGAACAAAATCAGTCTTACAAGAAGCTATTTCAGCAGTTTTATGCTCAACATTTTCAGTACCTTCCAAAATGAGTCGTTTCACGGCTCAGTTACTTTAACCAGGCCTTTCCAATGGACGTGTAAGCATCTTGTAACATCTGCGAAGCCTAGTACTCTGCAATTAGCCACCGTTATAGTGGATGGAAGCATTTCCACCGGCTGCAGAGCATCACGTTTTGGACGTGTCCCAGAAGCTTAGTGTTACGTTGCTCTGCTAAATTTACAATTCAAGTCTATTTTTACGCACCTAGCTCTGCAGTTCAGATCAGGTCAGACAGGACGTCAAACACAGGAGCAGTGTAAAGCCGGGCATACACTGTGCGACTTTTTCACTTTTTTGAGCCGTGTGGGTATGTCATCTGTGCCTCACTAACATAATTTTTGATTAAAAAAATTGCTTGGGTGCAAATTGTCTTGAATGATTTAAATGTGATTAATCAAGATTAATTTATTACAAAATCTATAATTAGTTAGATTTTTTAATCAAGTCCCACCCCAAGTCATGACCCATTATGAATTTCTTTCAAGTTGAGAGTGTTTTTAGAGGCAGTAGACTCACAGGGCAGCATAAAAAGTTAGAGCATACAAAAAAAAAAAAAAAACAGCAGGATAAACAGTTCTCTACTCGTGCTGCAGTTAGTCCTCACCACGCCTGAGTTTCAGGCACATAATTTCTGCCATAACGGGTTTGTCTTGGAGCCGTGGGCTGCAGATGTGTAGCTAATGTGCCCAAACTCGATTCGTCAGACTGATTAACGATTATGCGATTTGGCTACAGACACACTGTGTGATTGTGCAACCGTAACATCAACAACACTCAGTGCTGCATAAATGTAATCAGTCTAACTATCTTACAGAGGAGGAGTTGGTGTCAAAGAGAAACTCTAACACCGAGATAAGGAGTTTAGTACACTGGCTGAAGTCTGTCCCAGTGGACCGGGACACTATTGATAAGGTAAACTCGTTTGTTTTTTCTGTTTTTTATTTATCGAGGTGAGTCGGTGTCCTCTTGTTAATCACTGATGTGTTACTGTTTTTTTTAGCTGCTCTCCAATGAGTTCACATTGGACTGTCTACTCCACATAGCCTCCAGGGACGACTTAATGTACTGTGGATTAAGGTGAGCCGCCATCATGGATCATCCTGGTCTGTTCATGCAGAAACAGGAACGCATTGCAGGCTGAGGGAAAATCTTGAGTCATGTCCGAAGTGTTTTTGCGTCTAATGAGCCAAATCTGGTGTATTTGTGGAGGTCTTCCAAAGAATTTCTTTAGACTTAGGTTTTTTTCCCGATTCAGTACATTTTCAGATGAATGTTTTTGTGTGTTTGCAAATTCTTACTTATGAATCATTCAAGCATAAAACACATTTGTGCTTAAAACTGTTATAGCGAATCTACAGAACCAGCTGGGTTTCGAAAACAAACATGGTCACGGAACACTCACCCCTCCCCTTGGGTTTCATCCCTAGCTCCGCTTCCACGGGAACCAGAAGCCCACATTGCCAGAGGAAACGAGGAATATTCTTCTTTCCCTGTTTCCTGCATTAGCTTCTGCTTGGTTCAGAAAATCTTGACTGGTCTACGTCACACTGTCACTTAATATTGATTGACTCACCTTTCTTGGTTCGTGACGAGGAAGGCTGTTGTTGGTTTAACGTCCAGGAAACCGCAGAGAATGTCTCAGCTAGCAGAAGCTAATTGTTAGCATTAGCAACTCGACCACATGGCAGAACTCTTCCAGGCCTGTGTTATTTGTCGAGATAAAACATCAATGTTGCAAAGCAAATAATCAGTGGTGGAGTTTTGTTGCTGTTATCCAATCAGAGGCAAGATGTCTAAATATCAGCAAATAAGACTCCATATCCTGCCGTTTTCTGCTACTTTCTCCTCCGTCTGACTTCATTATCATCAAACAGGCACACAGAAGATTTTTTTACCCCAGGAAATGACTTAAAAAGCAAATGTGTTAAAATTATAAGTAAAGTTCAATTCAATTCAAGTTTATTTATGTAGCGCCAAATCATGGCAAGAGTCGTCTCAAGGCACTTCACACAGCAAACATTCCAATACAGGTCAGTTCATTAAGCCAATCAGAAAAAAGTTTCCTGTATAAGGAACCCAGCTAATTGCATCAAGTCACTGACTAGTGTCAAAGTCTTTACAGCAATCATCATGCTACGCAAGCATTTAGTGACAGTGGAGAGGAAAACTCCCTTTTTAACAGGAAAAAACCTCCAGAGGATCCTGGCTCAGTATAAGCAGCCATCCGCCACGACTCACTGGGGATCGAGAAGACAGAGCAGACACACACACACACACACACACACACACACACACACACACACACACACACACACACACACACACACACAACATATATGTTTCTATGGTTACATTGTGATTTCTTAGTAAATATTCCTTATGGTGAGAGATAAACTTTATTGTATTTACACTGTTGAATCTATAATTAAATGGGTAAACTAGTAGTAGCACATTCAATGTCAAAGAAATTTAAATGTTATTATCAGGAGAGGGAGATTGTTTAAGTGGTTAGCAGTAGTGTGCTAGCTAGACAATAGCCCCCTCCATGAGGGCACCACAGCTCAGCAGAACATCATTGCAGCTTCTTCTGGGGAGAAAAACACTTAGAGAAAAAATAAAGTTAACAGCTGAAATAGCAGAAAATAATACAGTTAAAGAACAGATTGTAGAGGAAAGTAGTCGAGTGTGGAAAGTGGTCAGTGTATCCTCCAGCAGTCTAAGCCTATAGCAGCATAACTACAGAGATAACTCTGGATAGCCTAGCTCTTTAGATGGAGGCATGTTGGAGGCAGGGCAAGGGAGAGCCGTCTTTACCGACTGTACACTCCACCTCCCTCTACTCCCCCACCTGTCCAGATCTAAGCTAACATCAGATCAAAGTTGAGCTTTAAACCCTGTCTTAAACACAATATATTCTCCTTTACTCAACTCAACTTTATTTGTAAAAAGATGCCACCAAGGCGCTACACAGATCAAGTAAAAACATAAAACTAGTTTTAGTGAAATACTGGGTTATTGTTGGTGTTTTTCAAAGATTCAACAAAATAAAGGAGGAGGTAGATCAGATCAAGTAAAAACATAAAACATTAAATCCAGAAGATAAAAACATTGTATCACAAAATACAGATAAAAATACAGTGAGTGCACAAATCGCTATAAGTAAAACAATAAAAACTAGTTGGAAAGTTTAAAAGACCGATCATAAAAGTAGGTTTTTAGCCTTGCCTTAAAAACCGCAACAGAGGTGGAGGCCCTTATGCTGAGAGGAAGCTCGTTCCATAGCTTAGGACCTGCCACAGCAAAGGCCCTATCACCACGTGTCTTTAGGCGCGATCTTGTGACTGAGAGGAGCATGAGGTTCTCCGAGCGGAGTGATTGGCAGGGGTGTATGGTTGAAGCAGTGACACCAAGTAAGGAGGGGCCAAACCATTTAACGTTTTAAAAACCAGCAAAAGTATTTTAAAACGAATCCTTACATCAACGGGCAGCCAATGAAGCGCAGCCAGGACAGGAGTAATGTGGTCAAACTTGCGCCTGCCCTCTAAAAATCTGGCAGCAGCATCTGCAGCATTTGCAACCTAGCTATTGAGCCCTTGCTCACACCGAATAAAACAGAGTTGCAGTAGTCCAATCGCACTGTGATAAAAGCATGGACTACCGTCTCAAGATCATCCTCCTCCTCCTTTATTTTGTTGAATCTTTGAAAAACACCAACAATAACCCAGTATTTCACTAAAACTAGTATTTTAGCACCAACAAGGTGATTCCCCAAATCTACTAGCTCAAAAACTTGGCTTCATCTGTTGGAACAGATGATACATCATCTGCTGTAAATAGCTTTTTGGATTAGGTTATTTCTCCTCTGGTTTCCCTGGACTTTTCTCTATTTTTACTACTCTGCTGTCATGATCAGATCCACAAACCGAACAGAAAATCCGCCCATTGTTTTAGTGTAACACTGCTGTCTGACTGTTTCAGAGGCGGCATGCTCTGTCGACTCTGGGCAGCCATCACAACTCGCCGAAAGACCCAACTGACCACGCACATGGAGGACAACGAGGACACTCAGCTGTAGATGTTGCTCATCAGAGGAGGAGATAACTGACAGACTGGGTCTGAGTGATCTTCATGAACCAAGCTTCTTCTGGGAGCTAGAAGAGGTTTTAGTTACTGTGACTGTTTTTTTTTTCCATAATACACTGACAAGATAGAACTTAAAAGTCTTTAACTAAATGTTGGCATCAATTTCTTGTCTTTGTTTTATTTTCTCAGGTAAGCGGGACTCTGACAGTATTAACTAAACTTATTTTAAGTGTCTTATTGATAAAAAGGTCTAAGTTATTGGGGTTCTACAAATGAATCTCTTTTATATTATGAGGAAAAATATTGATAATTTGTGCTTTAACTACGTCCAAACTAATTTCTATATTAAACACGAGAACTTAATCTCTGGACTGTCCCTGTGGTTTGTGAGCAGTTGTTGGTTTGGGATGGGCAGAGTGTTCTCTGAGGAAGTGATGAAGTGGCGAGCGGTCTTTAAATTCCAAACGTGTTTCCTCATCTGTTTTCTCACTGTTGACATCTCCTTAGAAACTGCGACATGAACTCTGTTGGTACTTGTTAGAAAACAGCAGGCCTGCTGTTTGACTTGTGGGTAGAAACTTGGTTTTTCATTTATGTTAAAGGCTCTTTTATTTTTTTAAGAAATGGGCTGGATCTGAAATTTTGTTTTGAAGTCAAGATGAAGATAAAAAAAGTTGATCATGTCAGTGAGAGTGATGCTTTAGGTCATGCCTTAGCTGGTGTGTCATCTCTGACCGGTGCTCTCTGTGCCTTTGACTCAGAAAAAAGAATGTAGGACCGACACATGGCAGCTCTTGTTTCTGTCAATAGTCTTTATTGTTCTAAATAACCACATAATACACATGTGAATACAGAAGCTTTCATATGCACACATGAAAATATCTCAAGTACACATGTGAAAACCAAAGTTCTCATTAAATGTTAAAACCAAAGTTCTCATATACACGTGAAAACCCATCATACACATATGTGAACAAAACTTCTCATACACACGGAGAAAAGCTCCTTCATGCACATGTGAACAAAACTTCTCATACACACATGTGAAGAGAAAAGCTCCTTCATGCACATGTGAAACTCTCATATGCACATGTGAAAATATAAGCTGTCCTACACATATATGAAAACATCTCAAATACACATGTGAAAAGAACCTCCTATACACACGTGAAAATCCATTATACGCACATGTGAACAAAACTTCTCATACACACATGTGAAGAGAAAAGCTCCTTCATGCACATGTGAAACTCTCATATGCACATGTGAAAATATAAGCTGTCCTACACATATATGAAAACATCTCAAATACACATGTGAAAAGAACCTCCTATACACACGTGAAAATCCATCATATGCACATGTGAACAAAACTTCTCATACACACATGTGAAGAGAAAGGCTCCTTCATGCACATGTGAAACTCTCATATGCACATGTGAAAATATAAGCTGTCCTACACATATATGAAAACATCTCAAATACACATGTGAAAAGAACCTCCTATACACACGTGAAAATCCATCATACGCACATGTGAACAAAACTTCTCATACACACATGTGAAGAGAAAAGCTCCTTCATGCACATGTGAAACTCTCATATGCACATGTGAAAATATAAGCTGTCCTACACATATATGAAAACATCTCAAATACACATGTGAAAAGAACCTCCTATACACACGTGAAAATCCATCATACGCACATGTGAACAAAACTTCTCATACACACATGTGAAGAGAAAAGCTCCTTCATGCACATGTGAAACTCTCAAATGCACATGTGAAAATATAAGCTGTCCTACACATATATGAAAACATCTCAAACACACATGTGAAAAGAACCTCCTATACACACGTGAAAACCCATCATACGCACATGTGAACAAAACTTCTCATACACACATGAAGAGAAAAGCTCCTTCATGCACATGTGAAACTCAAATGCACATGTGAAAATAAAAGCTCTCCGACACATACATGAAAACATCTCAAACACACATGTGAAAAGAACCTCTTATATACACGTGAAACCCCATCATATGCACATGTGAACAAAACTTCTCATACACACATGAAGAGAAAAGCTCCTTCATGCACATGTGAAACTCAAATGCACATGTGAAAATAAAAGCTCTCCGACACATACATGAAAACATCTCAAACACACATGTGAAAAGAACCTCTTATATACACGTGAAAACCCATCATATGCACATGTGAACAAAACTTCTCATACACACATGTGAAGAGAAAAGCTCCTTCATGCACATGTGAAACTCTCATATGCACATGTGAAAATAAAAGCTCTCCTACGCATACATGAAAACATCTCAAATACACATGTGAAAAGAACCTCTTATATACACGTGAAAACCCATCATATGCACAGGTGAACAAAACTTCTCATACACACATGTGAAGAGAAAAGCTCCTTCATGCACATGTGAAACTCATATGCACATGTGAAAACAAAAGCTATCCTACACATATATGAAAACATCTCAAATGCACATGTGAAAAACCATCATACACACATGTGAAAACTTCTCAAACACCTGTATGAAGAGAAAAGCTCCTTCATGCACATGTGAATACAAAAGCTCTCATACGCACATGTGAAACTCTCATATGCACATGTGGGAAGAAAAAAAACCCAATATGGGCCAGCGGCCCACCGGGACGGTGCCAGAATGCCAGATAGACCAGTCCACCCCTGCATACACACATGTGAAAACATAGCCTCTCATACAAACATGTGAAAACCTCATGAACACCTGAAAAAAAACTCACTGGCATTTATAAAATGTTTTTCAAATGTGCAAAACTTCACGTGTGTAAAAAATAATTTAGAATAATGTCCCTAGTGGCCACTCATGAGTCTTAAGCAGTTTTTCACCCTTTGAAATCAAACTTTTTGTTTCCAATGGACACACAATAGTAAGAAATCTTAATATGATTCTAGCAGGCAAAGGACAAGGAGACATATTTTTCTGTAAAAAAAAACAACTTTTGCAACATTTTAAGTTCTGTTTTTTTATGTAGTCAGTCAACAGGAAAATAGTCAAATTAAACGTCAGCGTGCCCTGTTTATCTAAGTTTCTCAAGCGATGCACAAATATATTCAAAATAATAAACATGCTAGGCTTTAGATTTTCCTTATTTTAACCAGTAAACATTGGCATTTATTGCTATTATTAAAATGAAATAATGCCACAAACACAAATTCCAAATCTGCTTTTGGCTTTTGAGTCATTCAAGCACTTTTTCCTCCAGATAAACAGACACTATGTGGCTGCAAATGCTAACGTGGTGTGTCTGAGTCAGAGTCTTATTCCAACAGCTGTCAGCTCAAATTCATTTCTTTTTACAGATCCTGAATGTGAGTGCAGGCCTCTGGGTTGCATTCAGTCTAATAAACTTCAGATCGCTGTGGCATCAGGACTGTTTAGCTAACTGGCAAGAAAACTTTGCTAATCTAATTAGAAAACAGTTAAGACGACGTATTTTTAGTCATTTAAGCTTTGTTTTGTTTTTCCTGAATGATCTGTTCTTTTATTTCTCAGCTCTTCCTTGTTGTGTCTAAATCCCCACCCTGTCTGCTTTTTGACTGGAGGCGGAGTTAAAACCACTGATGGGGGGGGGGGGGGGTATTTTATCCGGCGCTTGGAGGGGGGAATTAAGGGCACTACAAAGTATCGCTCAGGGATTACTAAAGTCACCCCATTTCTTTTTAAGCTCCCATAGAGCCGGTGACCCCGTTGTCCTGCGCTGATGTTAGCTTACACTAAAGAACTGAATTTGGACATGTATGAGGCTATGTGTGACTCACGCAGTAAGAGCAGTGTAAGGCTGCAGAAACAGGCTCAAACATGCCTGAAATAGCTGAGCTTTACAGATCAGGTGTTTCTGCAACAAACTTTCTTTTACGTTGGAAAAGGTGTCTGCAACACAGTCGCATGACTGCTTATAATAATGCTGTGGCTACGGTGCCAGATTTAGTCTTTATACAATCTCCATAATTGTCAGTACTACCTTATTTGTCATTTTTCAAGATTTGATTCATACATTTCTGCAGCGTAAATGTTATTTGCATTCCTTAGAGGCATTTGATGATTTTTTTTTCTATATCGCCCTTGGGAGGAGGAAGAGATCATTTTACAGGCAATTAAATGAAAGCCAGCAGTGTTATCTCCACTTGGCACTCAAAAGATCACCCTGCAGGAAGCAACTACTGTCGTTTTTATCGGCGACACAGAAAGAATAGATGTTAACAGCTGTCTATTGATCACAGCTGGACAGAAAAGGATCTCTTAACTACTTCTGTGTTGAATTAATCCTGGTGGTAATCTAAGCACTTGAATTAAAAATGAAACCAGTGTAAGGTTGCATGGGTGTGTGTGTGTATGTGTGCGTGTGCGTGCATGCGTGCATGTTGCAAACCTCTGCTGGGGTTTTGACTGTGGTTAAAGAGATATTCCACCACTAACTGAAATTTAGTCTATTGCCCTACAAGATAAATTAAGATAACTATTGAGTAATTTTGATGACTTTTTCACCCTAAATGCTAGCTGTTACCATTCACTTACAATGTTTATACTAAGCTAAAGCTAATAGAATATTGTTATACTAGGCAAATGCCCCCCCCCCCCCCCCCCCCCCCCCCCACTAAAGCCAGGTGTGTGTTGTGCGGCTTTGGCCCTCATAGCATTCAGCTCCAACTGTACGACTTCTTTGCAGAGCAGAGCTCACGAGTCATGTTCTCACGCTGTACGATTCAATGCTCGGATTCGACCTGACTGGTACGTCTGGTTGCAACACGTCGCACCTACAAGTCCGAAACCTGAAAGACCCAGAAACAGTTGTGTTGTTATTGACACACACATCATATATTGATATGTCTTTATGATTATTAATGTCTTTTGTCCTTCAGACTTGGCGTAGAAGGACACACAGGGGGTTTATGGGGATGGAAAATGAAGACAAAGGAATAGAAGTAAACTGATCCATTTTATTTCACACAAACAAACGTGCTTTCTTGACAATTCTATTCACTGTCTGTGGAAAAGTGTAGAAATCAAAGGAAATGGCGTGTTGACTCGGAAATGTCTGGGCAGCCGTGTTGACGCATGCACTGTGTGAGCGCTTCTGGTTCCGTTTGGTCGCAGTGCTGCTGCATTTCTCTCATGAGGGACAAGCAAAAAATCAAACATGTTTGATATTCATGAAACCATACGCCTGCTGATCAGGAGCTAGAGGTGGTAATCGCTTCTTGTTACGCACGAGAGGAAGACTGACTCAAAATGGGCCAAAAATCGCACAGTGTACGCACAGATTTAGGCCTGTCTAACTCTTTAACTTA